GTTTTTGGTAGGTATATTTATCAGGGAAGGAAGGAGTAGGGTTAGGAAATGAGCAAGGAGGGACTGTTGTCCGACTTGTTTATCCCTGATCAGATTAGTAAAATATTTATATTGTACACAGAATATAAATAGAGTTGGTCATTTCCAGAAACTATAAAAGAACACTCTTATGATTCTTATGATACACATCTGTCAGGGACCTAGTAATCTATCTATCTATCATCTATCTATCTATCTACATATGCACATGTATTATATAAAATGTTATGAAGTAGAAAAAATGAGCTATGGTTTAGAAAAGTGTTTCTGGTGATAGGTTAGAGATACAAGCCCAAGGAGGACAGGAAGAATCTAGGTTGTTCATTTCTAATTCTCCTTGCATGTAGCGTGGGGCAGTATACAGCACAGATGTTCGGTAACTATTTGGCAAGTGAATGATTGATAGAACATTCCCAGAACATCCAAAGGGAAAGCCACGAGAATATAAAAATAGGTGAATTATAGAAATTCTCATGAAATCCTTCCTTTAAATTAGATTTTTTAAAAAATACACTACACACCAGGAAACAGGATTAAGAAGTAAAATTCAAGTTCGATATAAGCTGAAAATCAAACCCATATGTCGCTCCATTAAAGGACATGTTACAGAGCATCTCCTGGCCTGATAGCTCTTTCACTCAGCATCCCTGGGCCTACTTCTCTCTCTTTCTGTCACTGGATATAATGTACATGATTATTTATCTTAATTTCTGTAAACAAGTTCTACCACCAGGTGAGTGAAAGGGACTTGAGGTCTGCGTTAATGACTTTACATTATTTGCAAATGGTTTTAAACTTCTACCAAAAGACACTTACTCTAAGCCACTCATATCCCAATGATTAGCCAAAAAGAATTTTGTATCTCTGCAATTTCCTATTAAAGTACCATTAAAAAAAAAATTGCCGTAGAGTCAATTCCAACTCATAGTGACCCTACAGGACAGAGTAGAACTACCCCCAGAGTTTCCAAGCAGTGGCTGGTGGATTTGAACTGATGACATTTTGGTTAGCGGTTGAGCTCTTTACCACTGTGCCGCCTGGGCTTCAAAGTGACTTAGAGGGGTTAATAATTGAACCTACTCATTGGACTGTTGTGAGACCAAAACAGAGTTAGGTGTGTGTTTGTAGGTGTGTGTTGTTGTTAACTAGAATAAAAGCCAGAAACCAGCTGCCATTGAGTTGATTCCAACTCATGGCAACCCCATGTGTGTCAGAGTAGAACTGTACTCCGTAAAGTTTTCAGTGGCTGATTTTTTGGAAGCAGATTACCAAGCCTTTTTTTCTGAGATACCTTCGGGTAGACTCAAACCTCCAACCTTCAGTTTGCAGCTGAGAGTTTAACCAGATTAGGGATTTTTAATCCCCGTTGTACATCAACTTTTGCCATAGTGCAGCCACTTACTTCACTTTGGTGAAGACTGAGATATAGTTTTCTGAGGCAAAGATGACCTGTTTCTCCAGGTATATTGGACAATTAACACATAATATTGGTATTTACTTAACTGGCTGTACATATTTAAGGCAAACGTTAATTAGAACAAGAAGTGGATTTTTAGGAAGGGATGTCAGGCTGGAGAGTTAGATACAGAGAATTACTATTTTGTACAGTGAATATCCAAATAAATTTTTCAGAGAAACACCAGACTTCCCATTGCAGCAGCATACTGGCAACTGGGGCGGATTGACTGTGAGCCCCTTGAAGTGAGCTAGAACTGGCAAAACATGTTGGAGTTTGTCCAGAAATGATTAGTTTCTTCCATTCAGTGGGGAAGGACATAGCCAAATTGAGAATACTAGGAAAATGCAGAAGTCTTTATTTCAACAAAATAACCTTACCTTAATCAAGCCCAGAAAAGAGAATCATACATTTTTAAGTTTCAATCTTTAAGCAAAAATTGGATAACCTTTGTTAATTGAAAAAATAAGTCTTTTTTTCATCATTTCTATATAAGTGTATGTATGTATACTCTAATCTTCAAAAGCTATTGTAACATACCACCTCAGAGAAGGAACAAAATAATCATCCCACTCTGCCTCTCTTACCTTGACTCGTAGCTCAATTATTTCTGTTCTTGGAACATTACTGCAGATTTGCTGTGACAAAAATTGCTGGTAGAGGAAGAACGATTCTACAGCCTTTCATCCTTCACAATTTTAGCACCATTCAGAGAAGTTAAACTTTGCAATCACGCCATCTATTGTTCAAACATTCAGAGTTCTGTAGCTCACTGAGTGCTTCCCTCCAAAAGAAGCAAAGCAGTAAGCCAGTTACCTTAAAAACAATATGCTCAAGGAGTGTCAGTGTAACGAACAGATCATCTTTTACATGCTAAAACATTTCTTTTAAAATATGTGTTCCTTATTTTATCATTATTGTCTCATTTATTTATTGTATTTTATAAAGTATTTGTATATATTCTGTTTACACATTCATACAAATTATGCATAATTTATTCCATATATTTAAAAAAATACTTACATTTTATTTTTATATTCTTCTGTGTATCTGCCTAAAATTGTAACCATCTTTTGGTTAGACAGCCAGCCCAATTTAGGCATGATAGTGGATTGGATTAAAGTGAAATCAAAAGATGAAAATAGATTATTGGAATATTTGATTGCACTGCACATCCTGCCCCAGGCTGTCGTTTTGTTACTACTAACTACTACTAAGTAATACTACTAACTACTAACTACTTCAAAGATCAGGTGCTTTACTACATAGCAAGAGAAATAGAAAATTATTCCCTAATGTTAAACACAGAAAGGCTTTGTTTTGTATCAATACTTCACCAAAGACAACTAAAAAGCAGTGTCTTCCTTTTCTTACCATTATAATTATTTTAGGTCTATCTTTAAAAAAAATTTTTTTTTGGAACATATTTCTAGGAATTAATGACCTTGAGCTCAGTTTCAAGATGTTCTGTAGACATGATTTTTATTTTATTTCATAGTCCTCAAAATGACCTCTTCTATATTGTCTATCAATTGGGTATTTTAAGAGAAAAAAGTGTATTTAAGCATAAAAAGAGTAAAATTAATTAGTTAAAATAGGCCCTAGCAAATCATTGGCAAAATGGTTGACAATATGCCTGTTCCAACTGACTCCTGATGTCAGAGTTGAAAACCTCAGCCCTTGCCTCTAATTCTAAAATGGGCAAAGTCTTATGGTCCATAAGGATGCTGCCTAGTCTGTGAACCTCACCATATCTCACTCTGAGCTCTAACCTTCTTAGCCTTTTGTCAAAGCTCCCTCCTATCCTGGTCTCTGTTTATACCCCTTGCTTTAATCAGGAATGTCTTCTACTGTCCCTCTGCTCTCACTTAGTTAATTCTTACGCACCCTTCAGGTTATGGCCCAAGCATCATTTCTTTAGAGAAGCTCTCTTAACTCCTAGATTAGTCCTCTCTTGCTCTAACATCCAATATTTTCTCTTATTATCACTCACCAAACTTTGTAGTTATATACTCGTATTATTATCTGCTTAATACCTGCTGCCCCACTAGGTTATAAATTATGAGCAGGCTAGAATAATGCTCCCCTTTTTAATTCCTTGGGATCCTAGCCATGTGTTTTGTTTGATTCCAATACAGCACAGGTATGAAGCAAATATGCAATGAAAATCAACCTATGAACCCAAAGTTGAGAACTGAAATGCCCATTGTACCTAGCCAATATAGTTTTGTGAAGCTAACTCTGTTCCCATGCTACCCTTGGGAGCAGAGAGTGTTTGCTGAGGCAGGAAATTCCAGTGCCTGTATTCCAGCTTCTCAAGGTGTACCTCACTGGGACTTGTCACCTTCTGCAACCCAGGCTGGGAGTGGGTATAACTTCTTACTAGTTACAGAATCCCCTGACCTTGTTCACTACCACTCTTCCTGGTTCACATGAATCAATGGACCTTTCAGTCCCTTGCCCCCACCAGTCTCTCCCTCTTATTCTCCTGCTCCCTTTCACAGGAGGGAGGAGGAAGAACTTCCCCATCTTTAGTCTCACCCACCTTCATGGATTACTAGGGGAGGGGAGATTCAGGCAACAAAATATAAATATTTCAGAAAATTATTCTACCACTCTGGTATTCATTCAGCAAAGAATAGAAATAAATTATGGAAGTGACACAGGGCATATTAAGCTTTTGTTATTTATTTTTGTAGCATTTCCCTTCTCTTTCTTGTAAACTCTAAAGATTTCTGACTCTCTTAGAATATTAGATAAACAATCATGCTGTGTATCAATCATCCTCAAAATGAGTTCTGCTTAAAAAGTTATGGAATACCGTTGTAAGCTTCAGGTATCTATAACCAAATCATCAATGTCTTCTCATGAATAAGAGTTCGTCATTTTGAAACACAAAGTTAGGATTCAGAATTCACCTTGACATTGAATATGCACATATACACTCACACATAGTATATAGGTTTTTTTTGTAAATTGTTGTTATTGTTAGGTGCCATGGAATCACTTTCGACTCATAGCAACCCTACGTACAATAGAATGAAACCCTGCCCTGTACTACGCCGTCCTCACGGTCATCTCGTTGAGGGCCTTCCTCTTTTTCACTGACCCTCTGCTTTACCAAGAATGATGTCCTTCTCCAGGGACTGGTCCTTCCTTTTTGTAAATCAGTTTATATTTTATTAAAAGTCTGTTATATTCTCCATTTTCCCCAAAGTTAACACCTTTGCTTAACATTAAACACACACAAAAGAAAAATGCTTGAACTTTGAAATATTATTTTCAAACCACACTAAGGATTATAAGTGCCCTTTCACCTCCCACTCCTCCATACCTGTGGTGGCATCTAATAGGCATTATATAAGCGTGTACTCCCTGAAACACAGATTGACTGATTCAGTTGCCAACCTGGATTTTGACTCTTGGATATATATTTGATAGAAAAAAAAAATGAAATGGTATAAATTTCACTACAATGAATATCTTCACACTTCTATCTCCACAGCAACACAGATGTACACACAGTGGCATCACTTCTTAAACTGTATCTCCGGGAACTTCCAGAACCTGTTATTCCTTATGCAAAGTATGAAGATTTTTTGTCTTGTGCCAAACTGCTCAGCAAAGATGAAGAAGCTGTAAGTCTATGTACTCATTTCCAAATGAATATTTGTTTTGGGGTTTTGTGAGTACTCTAGTCTTACATTTGTAAATTACCCCTTTCCCTATCCTTGGATTGTTTTCTACTATTCTGTGTACTGACATCACACACATTTATACTTTATGCACAAAACCCGGGTCCCATTTTTAATCCCCTCTCTCACCAAAATGAAGAAGGAAGAATGCAGGCTGAATAAATGAAATCAACATTCTTTACTACTCTGCTATCCTAAGTGGTTAATTATGGGGCTACATCACACCTAAAGTTCCATGAAAAAATGAGAATCTTGTTTCATATTCCCCTTTTCATTGTATGCCTCCCCAAAATCACTTTAGCGCTAGAGCAGGGGTTGGCAAACTACGGTCCATAGACAAAATCCTATCTTTTGCCTGTTTTTATTTTTTAAACAGCTTCATTGATAGATGGAGCCCTAGTGGTGCAGTGGTTAAGAGCATGGCTGCTAACCAAAAGGTCAGCAGTTTGAATTCACCAGCCACTTGTTGGAAACCCTATGGGGCCGTTCTACTCTGTCCTGCAGGGTCGCTATGAGTTGGAATCAACTGGATGGCAATGGGTTCGGTTTTAGTTATTGACATATAATTCACATACTATACAATTCACCCATTTAAAATGTAAAATTCAATGTTTTTAAATATTGTCAGAGTTGTGCAGTCATCACCACAATTTAATTTCAGAACATTTTCATCTCTCCAGAAAGGAACCCATCTCATTAGCAGTCACTCACCATTCCTCTCTCTCCCCCCAGCTCCTGACTGTCACTAATCAATCTCCTTTCTGTTTCTATAGACTTACCTATTCTGGATATTTCATATAAAATGGAATCATTCAATATATGATCTTTTATGACTAGCTTCTTTCACTTAGCACAATGTTTGCAATGTTTATCCATATTATAGCATGTATTAGAACTTTATTTTTTATGGCCAAATAATATTTCATGATGCATTCATTCATCAGACTATTAAGAACAATGTTGCTATGAACATTCCTGTAGAAGTTCCCCATACCCCTCCACCAGGAACTTCTACTTTTCTTCCTTTCTTCTTTCATTTTTTTCTTTCTTTCTTATTATGGTGAAAATATACATACAAAACATTTGCTAATTCAACAATTTCTACACATATATTCCAGTGACATTTGTTATATTCTTCATGTAAAACCACTATCCTTTTCTAAATTATTTCATCACCATTAGTATAAACTCAGTGCCTCCTAAGCAAAAATTTCCCCTTTCACCCTCCCTTCCTCCCTTGGTAACCACTAATAATCTTTGGTTTCTATATACAGTATTTGCTTATTTCATAGAAGTAAGAGTGTAGTATTTGTCCTTTGTAATTATGTTTGTGTCGACATATGTTTTAATTTCTCTTAGGTATATACCTAAGAGGTAGAATTGCTGTGTCATATGGTAACTATATGTTCTGAGCAACTGACAGACTGTTCTTCAAATCAGCTACACCATTTGGTATTCCAGTTAGCAAAGTGTGAGGGTTCCAATTTGTCCAAATCCTCACCAACACTTGTTATTATCTGTCTTTTTATCATAGTCATTCTAATGTATATGAAGTGGTATCTTATTGTGGTTTGATTTGAATTGGAAACCCTGGTGGTGTAGTGCTTAAGAGCTACAGCTGCTAACCAAAAGGTCAGCAGTTCAAATACACCAGGGGCTCCTTAGAAACTCTTTGGGGCAGTTCTACTCTGTCTTCTAGGGTCACTATGAGTCAGAATTGACTCGATGACAGTGGGTTTGGTTTTTGGTTTTGGAATGGTTAATGATGTTGAACATCTTTTCATGCCTTATTAGGTACTTGTATATCTTCTTTGGGAAAATATCTGTTCATGTCATTTACTCATTTTTTAATGGGGTTATTTATCTTATTATTAAGTTGTAAAAGTTCTTTATATATTCTAGATATAAATCCCTTATCAGACACGATTTACAGAATTTCTCTCCCATTCTGTGAGTTATCTTTTTATTTTCTTGATGGTGTCCTTTGAAGCAAAAAAAATTTTCTTAAATGTTAATGAAGTCCAGTTTATTAATTGTTTATGTTGCTTGCTTTTTTTGTCTCGTACTTAAGATGGCATTGCCTAACCCACGGTCACAAAGATTTACTCCTGTATTCTCTTCTAAGAGTTTTATAGCTTTAGCTCTTACGTTTAGGTCAATGATCCATTCTGAGTTAATTTTTATGTATGGTGTGAGAAAAGGGTCCAGCTTCATTCATTCCATATAGGTATCCATTTGCCCCAGCATCATTTGTTGGAGAGACTATTTTTCCCCTTTTCAATTGTCTTGGCACTCTTGTCAAAAACTGCTATTGTTTTGGTAAATAAAGATTTATTAGGACATATCCAGGCCATTTGTTTTATATTGCATTTGACCACTTTTGCACTACAACAGAAGAGTTGAGTAGTTGAGACAGAGACTGTATGTCCCCTAAAGTTTAAAATATTTACTATTTGTCTCTTTAGATGGAGAAAAACAGATCAGACTAGATTATCCATTTACATTTTAGAGGAGGTTCTGCAATGAGAAGAATCAAAGAAATTAATCCCTTTGGGAAATGGTAGAGTGGATAAGGCATTCCAGCCCCTCATCCTACGTAAATTAATGCATCCCAGGCATCACCAACCCTGAGAGACTTACCTGTTACTAGTTGTCTGTTTGTCTTTGCTTTAACCCATTGCTATTGAGTTAATTCTGACTCATTCTGGGCCCTCTAAAAATGGAATGGCCCCTCACTATATCAAAGCTAAATTTCTTTACAAATAACCTTATTAGAAATGAGATTATTCTCCCTTCTTAGTCAACTGTGAACGAAAGTTAAAACCGTTAAAAGTGCTTCACATAAATCTATTTCTCCGCAGATATACTTATGGAAATATTTGGAATGCTTGTACATCTTTGAAAATATTTCTAAAATGCCCTTTTTGATGGTGGCTAGTTTTCAGGACAAGGTCTTTCACTGATAATATGTGAAATCAATAATAAGAGCTTTACGTCCATTACTCACTTGCTTTAATTCAAGGCCACCTTTTAGAAAGATAACATTTATTCTCTTCTTTGTACTCAGGGTGTTAAGGAATTAGCAAAGCAGGTGAAGAGCTTGCCAGTGGTCAATTACAACCTCCTCAAGTATATTTGCAGGTAAGAACTGTCCTAAAGACAAAACTAAACAAACTATTCTTTTCTCTCATTGAATTGTCTTAATACCCTTACGGATACCTGCTGGCTGTTTTTATAAAGTTTTATTGGAATAAATCCATCTGTGACACTAATTTACTATTTAGTAATTACTATTTACTAATTTACTATTTGAAGGCCTGTTGGCACAGTAGATTAAGAGTTCAGCTGTTAACCAAAAGGCCGGCAGTTCAAATCCACCGGCCGCTCCTTGGAAACCCTGTGGGGCAGTTCTACTCTGTCCTATAGGGTCACTATGAGTTGGACCTGCATGGAAATCCAGTTTCTACTACTGACTACTAATGTGTGTTTCTGCAATTTTGTTACCCTCTCTGAGCCTAAGGGTTGTAATAGGTAAAATGGAAATGAAAATACATATTTAGCAGTGTTGTTTTAAAAATTAAATATTTTTAAATAATTAATATATAGAAGTGTTTAATAAATCATATTTTCTTTCCATTCTCTTCTGCCACAAGATTCATTGAAATGACATTTGTAATTCAATTATGTTAGAACAGTAATTGTGCCTGGTAAAATTTTCTCTCTGTCACTGTGATAAGGCCTAGAACGTGCCAAGTCTGTGCGCCTGTTTAAGAAACCCAGTATATTGTTCACCGATGTCATAAAACAGTATGTGTACTGACTATTTAATGAAAAAAATAAAATTAAAAAAAAAAGAAACCCAATATATAAAATCGGAACTTACAGTATATTTAAATACAGAGTTTGATGATTGATGCTACAATTCACAGCAGGGTGTCTTTAAATGACAGCTTCCTGGTCCATCTTAAAATAAAACTGAAATTTTTAGTTCAGTACAGAGCATCATTTATACATACATTTTTGTGTAATGATTAGGTATATATTCAGCAGACTAGAAACTATGAAGCTTAAAACTAATACCAGACAATGTGAACTTCATTGTCAGATATAACTGAGTAAGGATTCTAAAACCACCTAACATAACATTTTATGGTGCTATTTATGTTTAGGAAGCAAATAGGATCTTAGGTTTGAAAAAGTAAGAAATAATTTTGAAAAATTTAACCTCTCTTGAAACCTTTAAGCAGACTTTTAATCTCAAATCTCTCAAGTAAAACATGATAACTTGACTTTTTACTTTTCAGTTTTACAGTATTTAAAACTATATCTAAGTGGAGCATATGGAAATTTGTTGTTGTTAGGTGCCATTGAGTCAATTCCAACTCATAGCGACCCCATAGGACAGAGTAGAACAGCCCATAGGGTTTCCAAGGAGTGGCTGGTGGATTTGAACTGCTGACCTTTTGGTTAGCAGCCAAGCTCTTAAACACTGCACCACCAGGGCTCCCATGTGGAACTAGGCACCTTTTTTCAAGTCATGGTATAGTATCGTTAAGAGCAAAGACTGTAGACTACTAGGGTTCAAATCTCACCTCTGCCACTTACTATCTCTGTGTCCTTGGAGAAGATATCTAACCACTCTGGTACCTGAAGTCACAGCAGTGGAAACACTCTCTGCTAATTCAAAGGTCGGGAAAAGATATGGCAGTCTGCTTCCGTAAAGATTTACGGCCTTGAAAACCCTCTGGGGCAGTTCTTCTCTATCCTATAAGGTCGCTATGAGTCAGAATTGACTTGACGACAGTGGTTTTGGTTTGGTGCCTGATGTCTCTCATCTGTAAAATGGAATATCTTCCTCATAGGGATGTTTTGATAACTAAATAAGTTAGCATGTGATTAGCAGATAATTGTGCTATATAAATGTGTTACTTTATTTTTCATCACTTCCTCTTTACTGCATCAGTATAATTACTAAGCCACAAAATAATAAAAGCTCTTATATAAATAAAGAGGGGTCAGGTAATGAAAAAGGCTGAAAGATTGCAAAAACAATATCTACTACTAAGGACTATTCCATGCCTCTTATTCTTTAGCACATAATCAAGTAAAGCAATGTGTATTTACATTTTTTTCTATCAGTAGAATTGAGATTTTAATTTAAACTTTTTGCTCTCTTCTTTTAATAGATTATAAATTTGAAGCTCACAAATTACTCTGCAAAAACATTGATTCTTCCTCTCTAAAATAAGGGATTATTCCAGATGATCTTTAGTTCTTAAATTGAATATGTATGTAAACATAATACTTTATTGAGGCATTGGAAACAAATCCATATTCTTGGCTCTGAAGTCCAAATTAGCATTGTTCAAGCACATTTGTTCCTGTGATTGCCAGAAGCCAAGCTAGCCAGAGGTGATATTTGGTATGATCTCTCAAGTTTGTTCCTTAATAACTTGCAGTATTTTCTTCCCATATTTGCCTGAGAGATGTTTCAATTTCTAAATAATTTTGTCTTCAGAATCATCTTTGAATATAGCTCTGGTTCATAAATTTCCCAATGATCCATTTTCTTTCATCAACAAATTTGATCCCATTGTGTTCCATTCATATTCTTATATCCAACAGGTTCTTGGATGAAGTACAATCCTATTCAGGAGTTAACAAAATGAGTGTGCAGAACTTGGCAACTGTCTTTGGCCCTAATATCCTACGCCCGAAAGTGGAAGATCCTTTGACCATCATGGAGGGTAAGTAAATGATTATCTCACATCTTCTGCAAAAGAAGAATCATCTGTTCCTCCTTTGAGCAAACTAGGGAAATAGATGAATCTGTTTGCACTACCAACTCCATTTATTGACTCAACTTCTTTAAATGCAAAATCTTCTCTTTGGGGAGTCAGGCTTTTTTTTTTTTTTTTCAATTTACTAAATGATTTCTCAGTAATCTTACAAGAATAAATGGAACTTCCATAAATCATTTGTAAAGTATTGTACAAGAACTGGGAAAATCTAGGTCATATTGTGAGAACAATGCAATTATCAGACAATTCTAAAATTATTATTTTCAGTTGATATATTTTTATTAATTTTTTGTTTTACTTGACTTACTGGGAAAGGTACAGAAATATGACCCTTTATAAGATAATGCTGCCTATTTACATGTGGTTTGAAATCTGAGGGAATTCTTGCTTTCCAAAGTACAAAATATTCTCAAATTCTTTTCCACAATGAACCAAGTCTTCGAATCAGTTCAGAACTTTTCAGTAATTGCCAACATAAACAAGGGTAGTGTACACATTGCATAGCAATCAAATCTGTTGCCCATGGGATTTTGGCCCGAGTAGAAAACAAACAGAGTCCTGGTAGTTCAGTGGTTAAGAACTAGGCTGCTAACCAAAAGGTTGGTGGTTCAAATCCACCAGCTGCTCCTTGGAAGCCCTATGGGGCTGTTATACTCTGTTCTGTAGAGTCGCTATGAGACAGAATGAACTCCACAGGCAACTTGGTTTGGTGGGGGTTTTTTGGTAGGAAACAAACAGCGTGCCCCTGCTCAAAGATGGTGGCTGATCGCACCACTTTAAATGTGTGTCATTCTCCACAGTCCTGCCAATAATCCAGTCTCCCACATTAAGCTCCTGAAACTTTGGGGATCCATGTGGGAGACTGGATCTCTGCAACAAACTGCTATTTCTGTTTATTGCCAGCAGGCCTAACTGCTTGGGTACTTTTCTTACTTGTGGCCATTGGTAGCACCATTATTTTCAGCCATTTGGACTAATTAAGCATTTAATAATTTAATAGGGGAGGGGGGAAGGCGAAAGAATAACCATTTTTAGTTTCACTCAGTTTATTTAGTCTAGAATAAAATCTCCCCCTGAGTTACATTTATTTTACTCCCCAATACTGTTCCCTACTTAAAAATTCTAAGATTTTCATTTTCATTTAAGCTTTAATATTTTTGCTTCTGTTACAAATAAAGTGATCATTTTAAATTTTAACATGAAAAATAAAAATATTGTTTTGGTTAGTTGACATTCACTTATGAGGAGCATCTTTGTGTGGAAGATGTACATGGGAAACCAAATCAATGTTAGGATCACTAAGTGAGAGTAGGGTCATACCGAAGTTGAATGATCCTAATTGGTTAATATTATCAAGCTGTAATGACCTGACATACAAATCTCCTCCACTGGGATATGCTTACGAAGACAAAGTTTGTTTTTTGTTTGTTTGCTGTTGCTGTTGTTTATTTATATGTTTAGTTGGTTAATTGGTTTGTTGGTTGGGTTTGGATGGAGGGTGGCGAGTCAGTTATATATTCAATTTTTTTATCCTATTGCCAACCCATGTATCCAATTTTTAACATACAATATAATTGCCATAAATACACAAGTCAAATTAAGCAGAATGTTCTGTGTTCTTGTTGTTGAGGCTAGCTAGCCTCTCCCCTAGTAAAGTGTAAAGAAAATTATAAAATTGTTTTGAGTCAATTCCTGTATTATAAGTCACTAGAGACACCATTTCCTTGTTCTATCCAGGTTCTAGTATTATGGACTATGATATATTTTTTAGTTGTGTTTTACTTATGTTTTTTGAGGCTATATCCAAGTTTCCTAATGAAAACTTTGTAAATACCCTAGTTCTAAGAGACTGACCTTATCTGAGGGTAGAATTCACTCTTGAAAATAATAATCTTTTGAAATATTCCTTTATTTATTCATCTAGCATTTCTTCATCCAACAAATATTCATTAACTAAATACATTGTACAGACTTTTCACTAAACCTGGAAATGCAAAGGTGAATATGGAAAATTTTTGACCTCAAGACACTTATATTCTAATTAGAGATTTTAACATGTAAACTTTTAATTATAACATAATATAAAAAGTATTCTATACATGATATGCTCAAAGGGTTGTGAGAGCATGAAGTAGGAAATGGTTTTTCTCTTGGGGCTCAGAGAAAGCTTCAACAGAGGAAGAAATATTTATACAATCATTCCACTAGAGAAAGAAGCATAGTCATAGGTAAAAGGGTAAGAAAGACCACAGTGTCTCTGAGTGAAAAATTTGGTAAGGTCAATGATATCAGGGCATATAAAGAAAATTGGTGGAAGAATGGCTGAAAAGATCTCAAACACTGTCAAGGGCCTTATAAACCATCCTGAATTTAAAGTTTAGCCTTGTGAGAGGAAGTCACATAATTTTTGAGGAAAGTATTGTTGGGATAGGATTAGTATTTCAGAAAAGTTACTCTAGCAGCTCTGAGGATTGGCTAGGGGAGGACAAGATAGAAATCATATTGAAGCTATGTATTGACACTCACTGACTTTGCGTTCAGAGATTGACTTTGTATTTGTGGCCTTCTGTGTACTTGCCTCACATGTTATACGTAAAACATTGCAATTTAATCAAATAAATTCTGAGGCTGAGGTAGACCCGGAAATATAATACCTGTATGCAACATTAACCTGACCTAAGAGTGTATTTAATCCATGTGTAATGGTATTGTTTCTAATTTGCTTTCAATATGTCTTCAGCAGTGGGCCTGATTAAAAACTGCACAGCTTGGCAAATAAGCCTTAAATATTTACTAACCCATAATACTTATCTTTGACCACTTTTCTTACTTTGACAGACGTTTAAAATGAATAAATCTCATTATTCTTAGCTACTTCCATACTATTTACAGTCAACTGATATACATTATATGGAAAAACAAGGAGACTTTGCTTTATACCTTTAAAAATTCTCTTATGTTTAAAATTTCTCTTTTACAATTCTTCCCACACTCCTTAAAGTTATACTTCTCCTTGCTACTATCCTATTCAAATAGAATTGACGTAGCAACTAAAGATATCCTTAGTATAAGCATATCCATATCTATATACTAAATATATATGTGGTTCTGAAGAAAAGCCTTCAATGACTGTTTTTCAGCATTATTTAAAATTACTACCTAACAATATTGCATTCTGCTTCTGCCCATGATGGAGTAACAGGAACTGGATTTACAAAACTGTTTAAGGTTCACGGTATCTTCAATACAATTAAAAACTACCAGATATGCAAAGAAACAGAAAAAAATATGACCCATAACCAGGATAAAAATCAGTTAATACAAAAAGACACGTGACATATATGTCGTGTCTAAAAGCAAACAAGGATATTAAACATGTTATCATAAAAATTCTACATCCATGTTCAAGAAGGTAGAGGAAAACATAAACATGATGAAGAGAGAAAAAATATATTTTAAAAATTATAAATAGAACTTCCAGAGATAAAAATTATAATGTCTAAAATGAATATTACACTGATAAGATTAACATCAGGTTAGATATGGGAGAAGGCATATAAAAAATAGCAACTTATCCCACATGAAGTACAGAGAAAAAAGCACTGAAAAAAAATTCTAAATTTGATAAAAAGTATAGATAAGAAATCCCAGAAGCTCAAAAAGTACCAAGCGGATAAATATAAAGAAAAATACAAAACAACATCATAACAAAAAGGCTGAAAACCAGTAGTAAAGAGAAAAGCTTAAAAACAGCCAGAAAAACAAAGAATTCTCATCAGAAACTATGCAAACCAAAAAACAACAGAGAAGGGGGAAAAAAAAGATCATGGTTGCAAAATCTTTTAAGTACTGGAGTAAAAAGCAACAGCAACAGCTATCCCCCTTGATTTCTCTATCCAATGAATACGTCTAAATATCGTCTAAAAATGAAGAAGAGTTAAAGACATTTTTAGATGAGAAAAAGCTGAGAGATTTCATCACTGACAGTCCTGCACTACATGAAATGTTATAGAGTTCTTTAGATGGAAGAAAAAGATACCAGATAAAATTTGTGTGTATACAAACTAATGAAGAGTGCTGAAAATGAATAATATGTAAATAAATATTAAATCATTTTGTCTAATTTTTAAATCTCTATAAATTATAACTTATTATATAAAGCAAAATAAATAACAATGTAATATGGAGTTTATAGTTTATGGAGAAGTAAAATGTACAATAACAAATGACAGATGTGAGAAGTGGAAGTACACTGCTATAAAGTTCTTATACTGTACATGAAGTAGTATAATGTTATTTGAAGGCAGACTGTGACAAATTAAAGATATATATTGTAAACCCTACAGCAACCACTAAAAAATAAAATGAGATATTAGGTAATAAGCCAACAATGAAGTTAAAATCAAATATTAAATAACAGTACATCTAAAAGGGCACATATAAAGAAGAAAAAAATCAGATTGGTCAAATAGAAAACAAATAGCAAGATGGTATAATTGAAACCAACCATATCAATAATTATACTAAATGATAATGGCCTATACATTCCAGTCAAAATACAGAGATAATCAAATTGGATAAAAATGCAACACCCAACTATATGCTGTCTATATACCTTTTTAAAATATAAAGACACAGGTTTAAAAAAAAATGGGAAAATATGTACCAAAATGTGTGTGATGCAGCTAAAGCAGTGCTTAGAGGGATATTCATGCATTATATACTTATGTAAGAAAAGAAAAAAGCTCTCAAAGCAATTACCTAAGTTTTCACTTGAGGAAACTAGAAAAACAAGAGTTATTTTAATCCTTCTAAGCAGAGGTAAGGAAATAAAAGTAAAAGCAGAAACCAAGATAATAGAGGACAAAAACAATATAGAAAACCAATGAAACCAAGAGCAGTTTTTTTGAAAAGTTCAATAAAGTTGGTAAACCTCTAGCCATACT